GCAGGCAGCCACTCCAGTGCCTGCTACAGCTCACTCCCTCAGATGAGGGAGGCTGACAGCTTCCTGCCCTGCCCCTTGGCTGCCTGCCCCGCTGTGTGTCACCACTGGCTCCGCTCCAGCCCAAACTATTTGGGATGCAAAATGTGCCCCGGATCCAGCCTGGGGCACCGCGCTGCCACGCAGCCATCGGGCACGGGGTGACGGAGGTGGACACGACCCCGGCGGGGTGCGATGGCGTGGCTGAGGGTGTCAGCGTGATGGATGGAGACATTGAGGGTCTGGGCACCCACCCCCCAGGGCTCAGCTGCCAGATTCCTGCCCAGCACCCCCCAAAACCAGGTGACAGAGGCACGAGGCAAGGCCAGGCAGGAGAGCTCAATGCGAAGTCTTTACTACAGGCAGGGTTACACGGAGGAAAAAGCAACAGCCGGCACTAAGAGGAGGGAGAGCAAGGTTCATCCAGAAGGAAAGGTCTGTCTGACGGGAGATGGGGCTAACTGCTGGTCCTCAGCCTCACGGGGACTGTTTCTCTGCTGGGAAGAGACGTACGGGGCGAGAAAAAGAAGTTTTTGCCATTTCAGATGTGTCCTGGCAAGTGGTCCGGAGCAGAGGCAGCTGGGGAGGAGTGAGTGTGCAGGAGGGGATGTCCAGCTCCGCTGCTGTCCGACGTGCGTTGGGCAAAGGACGTGGCAAGGGAAGAGGGGACCGGTGCCGAGGAGAGAGGAGGATACCAGCCTCCCGGGGAGGGTGGTTTTGCTCCTGGGGGAGACCCAGCCAGAAGTCCGTCCGTCGCCCAGTCCATGAGCAGTGCGGGGCGGCCGTCAGAGCAGGGTGCACATGCCCTTGCGCTTGATCTCGAAGGTGGCCGCCAACAGCCCCAGCTTCTGCTGGCTGTAGGGTGGGTAGCGCAGGGCGTTGAGGGCCTCCAGGCCCATGTTGCGGTGCAGGCAGCTGCGGTGGTGGGTGAAGGTGTCGAAGGTGAACTTGCCGTGGTATTTCCCCAAGCCGCTGTTGCCTGCAATACACAGCACAGGTCCAAACTTTCTACGGGACTCTCCGCTCCTGCCCACTCCGAGCATCGTCAACGCCAAGGAAAACCTTACAGGCTTTTCTCGTGCAAATGCTCCCGCTGCGGAGCAACATAGACGTGGTGGAGGAGATCTCACCCTTCCCTGCACCTTTTCCAGCTCTACAGCTACTCCGTCCAGCAAATCCTTCTGCAGCCCACCACTGTTTGGAGGTCTAAGTGCATCGTTTTTCCTGGCCTGCTTTTATCTACATAAGCTTTGCTGGGTCTACAAGGCTCCATTTCCCTCTACAACCTCTACGGTGCTCTACCATATCTACCCATGGTTAGGAGCTATCAGCGTGGCCCCTACGAAGGTCAGCTTCTTCCTGGAGCTCTTAAAAATTGGAGCTACATTGGCAGCACCAGCTGGTTTAAGCTCAACGCTGCGCATTGCGGTTAATAGCCCAATGACTTCACATCCGAGCTACTGTGGAAGCTTTGGCAAATGCCATCTCACCCCGATGACTTCAGACCCTTCACCTGACCAAGCTGCTATAAAATGGCTTCACCTGATAATTTGAGGCAGTTTGTCTGAATCATTTCCATAAAGATAAGTTGCGGTATGGGAACCACCAAAAATTGTTCCCTGAGCCACAGTCAGGCAAGGAATTAATTGTGCTTCGCTGTCGTGGTGTCCTATTATGTCTGAATCAGCTGCCAGCTCTGACAGAGATGCTGAGCATGGGCAGCTTAAAACTGCCGTGGGATATTTTCCCCAGACAATATCCTGGGGAAGAGACCAAGAGATTGGGAAAGTATTCCGGGTAATATCATCAGAGGCTTCCTGTATTCCTGTGCTCTTCCCTGGGCAATGCTACAACCAGGGCCCAGGGCTGAGCAGACCTCACTTTTCACCTGAAAAAACAATTGTTGTTACCCCTGGAGAGCTGAGGAGGATCTCCTTTTTGCTGAGGAGGATCTCCAAGTTACCATAAGCAGATTTCCCAGACATTTATAAGCGTTTTGCTCCTGCTATTGAGTCCTAAAAGGCAGAATGAATGTACAAGCCTTTTGCTTGTGGCCAACATGGATGAAGCCATTGACTTTATCAATGCACGGCCGCAGCCGTTGGCCATCTACGCCTTCTCCTGTGACAGCAAGGTGCGCATGGTCCATGGACCAGAAAGGGGGGTGAGGGAAATGGGGCAGAAAGGCTGAGGAGGATCTCCAAGTTACCATAAGCAGATTTCCCAGACATTTATAAGCGTTTTGCTCCTGCTATTGAGTCCTAAAAGGCAGAATGAATGTACAAGCCTGCTCCTGAGTGATGTTAAGAGCTCCTATCCAGCACCACGCTGTCTGCAGGAGGAAGCTCACCTACCCAAGAAGCACAAGGCCTCGGATGTGCTCCCAGACGAGGAGTAGAGTGATGGATAGACCAAAGGGAGCAGCACTTGAGGAGATCCCAGGTAAGCCTGAGCAGGGCAGGAACCCAAAGCTGGCACAAAGTTCACTCACAGTGCCCACGCTGCTCAGAAATACCAAGGAAATACCCAAGTGGTAAAAAATTCTCTGCCTGTTATATTAAGTATTTCCACGTACACAGGCAACACTGTGCTTGGGACACCAAGCATGGAGAGAAGAAACCACAGAGTGCTCCACGCATGTTCAGCAGAGACAGGGCTGCCAAGCCCGAGAGCTCAGCCCTGGTGCAGTGAAGCAAAGGGCTTCTCGTGGGGTCCTGTCTGGTGCAGAAGGATTTCCCTACGGACCGTTGAGCCCTCTGGACCTGGGGCCCAGGCCTGGGTGCTCCGTCTCCCCTGAGACCCTTCCTCACCATGGCCAGCATGGCTCAGACACCAGGGGTGGGACCATTCCTGGCTCACGTTGGCCAGGGGCGGGCAGGTTGGGGGATTTGGACCTACCGATCCCACCGAAGGGCAGCGAGGTCAACGTCACGTGCATCAGGGTGTCATTGCCGCAGAAGCCACCGCTGCTTGTCCGCTCCAGGACCTGGTTCACCACCTGGGAAGGAAGCGGAGAAGTTGGACATGGGTCTTCCACCTTGGGTCCACGGGCAGTGCTTGTCAAACATCACCCAACTCGTCCAACAGCCCGGTGTGCCCAGAGCAGCCGGGCTCAAAAGACTTTTCAGAGCATGCCCTGGGTTGTCGGCAAGGTGGGCACTAGCCTTTCTGCCCCATTTCCCTCACCCCCCTTTCTGGTCCA